ACGGGATGTAAACAGTAAATATCGGATTATTAATTCTTGCATAGCGTCACGCACAAAGCGTAATATACCTTTTTGATTGAAACTTCTACGACAGGTTTTCATTATGACATGCGATCTTGATTTTCTTTCTACTTTTTTCTTTCCATTTCTTTCTAAGAAAATTTTGTTCTGTTTCTGTATTCTTTATTCTCCCTTTGCGGAATTATTATCTAGTCTTTGACAACAAATAACTTCTGATTTACCGACCTGTTTAGTGACCGCCTTGATAAGATGACCTAACGAGTCCATGATTACTAAAATATCACAGGGTTCCAAGAAGAAAAAAATCTGTATCACTTTGGGTAAACCTAGATTTGTTAAACTCATCCGATTTTATCTGAAAAACAGTTCTTTGAGACTGTACCCTGGGATCTATCACTCGAGCCATACACTAGTAATTATAAATAATGCAATATGTGATAAGTTTTATAATAAAACATAGTAACTATTGAAATTTTTACTTTATAACAAAAATTTCAATAGTTATTATGTTTTATTATAATAATTATATAAACTTACTATTTGATAATTTTAAGTTATTCATTTTATATCTAACGACTCATTTTAACAAATGCTATTGGCTGGTAAATATAAGAATCACAAGTTTTTAAAATTATTATTTGATAAATTTTTTAAAATAACATGTGCTTTTATCAAATTATTAGCGAGTAAATTTAAACTTTATTATTTATGATTTTCAAAATTAGGTAGCTGCGCGACGCTGTCACGCTTAAACCAGGAACATAGTATATATTTTAATGGTGTTGTTTACTTTATTGACAATCTTTTTATTGATAGCTTATTACATAGGGTTAGGATTAGTATTTTATTGTATATTGGTATATATTTTTAGTTAAATGTTTCTTGGTGTGATGTTGGTTAAATGAGCTGTTGGTGATATGATTATTAGTAAATCAATATGAACATTTATTTTATATGATTTTTTTTTTTTTTTTTAAAAAAAATAAAATAAAATTTATTTAATTTTTTATTTTATTTTATTTTATTATTATTTTTTTTTATCCAAGTGTTTTATTACTTTTTGTGGTTTATGTATTTATTGGATATTAGTGTAAAATTTTTTGGTTAATTTATAAAGTTAGAATTATTTGGTTTTTTTTTTCTTGTTATTAAAATTTTACTGTTATGTAGGGTTTGTATAAAAGAAAAATTGTGATATAGTGTATATGTTGTAGAGTGGATTTAAAACTTATATGGATCTGAATAAACTAAGCAGATTTCAATCTAATGTTAAGTTAAAATAGAATTTTAAGAATATAAACAGTTTTAATTTATATAAAATAATTTTATAGTTAATATTTTATTATTGTGATAAAGTTAAATATATTTCTGCTTTTATATTTAATATTGTTTGATAATGATTGTTTTTATACACTTGATTAGAATGTTTATAAAATAATTTTATAGTTAATATTTTATTATTGTGATAAAGTTAAGTATATTTCTGCTTTTATATTTAATATTGTTTGATAATGATTGCTTTTATACACTTGATTAGAATGTTTATTTATACAGTAATTGTTCTTTATTTATGTTATCATCATATCGTATACTTGATAGGGGTGTTACTAAGAGAAAAAGGAATACTTTTTTTTTTTTTTTAATACTGGTATTTAATATCTTTTGAATTTGTAATGTTTTACAAAAATGATTAATATAATTTTAAAATTTAATATATGTCAGAGTGAAAGAGTCAAAATAGATAAATATTCAATAATTTATCTTAAAAACAAGTAACATTTATATATAAAAATAAATCATGTTTTTGTGACCTTTTGATGATTAACATTTTATCTTAATGGATTTCAAGATCATAATATTGTGTCAGTTCTATTTATATAGTTTTATTCTTTATAAGTTTTATTAAATATTTCTAATTACTTTATAAGTGATGTGTTTCATTCAATAATTGCATGATTACTTTGAAGAGTAAAAGGCTGTTAATAATATTTTAATGTTTGAAAACATATCATATACCAAATTATTATATGTTAGCACTTAACTTAGCTAAAAAAAAAATAATTTGATTTGATTTTTTTTTTAGAATTACCAAAATTGTATTAGTTGGCTTATGTAGCATTGCAGTAATAAGTTTGTAATAAAGTGTAAAATAAAAATTTTATGTCTAGTTAATTATTATTATTATTTTTTTTTTGAAAACTTATTAGCTAATTTGCTAGCAATGATGTCATAAAAGAGATTTTTGGGTTGTTATTTTAATTGAAAATTTTTTTAAACACTATGCCTTTTTTAAATATGAATAATTTATGATTATTTGAAATTTAATTAAGTGAAATTTTGTTTCATTTATGACATATATATTGTATTTTGATATATGTTGTATTTGAGTTAGTTGGGCACTCAGATTTTAAGACTAGGTATAATGCATTTTAATGCAAAAACAGAAAATTAAGTTGGAAAATTGGACATTTTACATTTTCTATATACTAACAAATATAGTTTCTTACAGAATTTTGATATTAGTGGAGTTTTTTTAATCTGAATTATTATTAACCTTGGTTTTAATTTATCACTAATTTTTTTAAGGCAGTGATGCTAAGGTTTTAGTAGCTATTAGCTTTTAATTAGTGATGAGTAAAAATTATGTTTAATTTAGGCCAAATAATAATTATTAGATTATTAAATTTTGGTATAATAACTAGCTATATTAGATGTATTAGTTAAAATTTTTGATGCTTACTTGATATATATATAATATATTTGATATATTTTGTAATATTACAATAACATAGCCAAACTATGTTTATGATACTTATACATATAATTAAAGTATTATTATTGCCATACAACAACTCATATAATATATATATAATATATATAATATATAATTAAAAATAAAATATATTAATAGATGTTTATTTGTTTAATTTATCAGGCCATCTTTCTAATCATTCAGTTTTTTTCTTACAGATTTATAAACTTTTCTAATTCTTTACAAAGAACTTAAGGTAATTTTAAGTCAAATATAGAATTTTTAAAAGATCTAAGAATTAATAAGTCTTTAAGTTTTTGAGCTCAGAAATGCATTATATATGTACTGATATAGGCATTATTATTTGTCAAGTCAACTATCATTTTATCTAATATATATCCTTAACATTTATAGTCTGTAAACATATAGACTGAGGTCAATAGTAATTGTAGACATTGAAATTTTCTCATAATTTTAGTACCATATCAACTATATATTGTATATATGCATTCTTGTTTAATTGGATATATAGGCACATAATTTAGATACAAATCTTTATATGAACCAGATGTTTTGTCAGTTAGTTTAATAATAACATATTTTGGTGGATTACTAAGAGCAAAAGTATTTTCTTGTTGCAACATTGTAATGACTGAGTCTCAATTATAACCAATTTGTCAAATTTTTCCTTGAGTACTATTGGCTAAGTTGTTATAAACACATATATTAATAGTTAAACCAACTTTTATACTAATAAATAAAGGCAAGATTCCACAAAGCATATTTTGTTTTATGTCAAAAAATGAAAGAAATTTTTTTGATTAGTCCCTGTTAAATGAATATAATAATATATATCTTCTGCATATGAGTAAAAAAGAGTTTGATAAAAATCTCAAGTATGTTCTATTGCAGCATCAAAGTTTAAATGAACTTATAGATCATTTCAAATTACCAAAAATATTGCATCTTTTCAAATTTTTGATTATATTTGATTGTTACTTATAACTTTTGATCACAAAGCATTTTTTTAGGTTTCATTAAAGTTTTCTTCTTGCATATTTTTTAAGATAATAGTATAAAAAGGATCACTTATTTGTTACATTTGTTGTTTTAATTTGATAATATGTTTAACATTAAGCTACAAATTTCTACCTATATTATTATTGACAGAGTGATTATTAATATTAACATTGTTAGTACATTTGCATTTAGTTTTTTTTTAATATATTTTGTTATCTGATTTATAGTTATTAGAAGCTAAACTAATGTTATCAACTTTATTTAGTATATATAAAGCTAGATTGAGAACTGGTAGCAATTGCATAAAATCTTTACAAAAGAGAATATTCACTTCAGTAAATAGGGTAAAATTATCTATTACTATTACTAATTTTAAAAAAGTATAAAATCATGTAATAAGAGATTGACCTATCATCAAAATCTTATCTATTATAATATAATGAATTTTATATCAAATTTCTTGTAAATGGTATAATTGTTTATTGTTTAAATTGATTTTTTATGCTTTTCAAACCCAAATTTACAAACTGAGTGTATTGTATAGCCAAATATATTTGCAGCTGCAATTTCTATAAAGGCAAAGACAAGCAGTGAGTTATATTGTCCAATATACTTAAAATATGAACAAATTAATTAAATTACTTTCAATTTACTAGTATCTCCTGTACTAGTAAGGAAAAGTAACAATTATAATAGCTTAATAAAACAAGTTTCTTGATTTCTCTGACAGTGAACACATACTAGAAAATAAGCTTTCTTTTGTTTATCATTTAAATCAGACACAAATGTTTTGAGTAGGTCTATAAACTCTCTAATTAAATAATCTATATGATTAATATATTAAGGTTCAGGAAGATTAGTGAATTTTAATAAATTATTTTCTGTATTATTATAATCTTCATTCTGCCAAATTGTCTTACATGAAACTATTGTTGCTTGTCATGATTTAAGCAATTCATCATCATAAGAGTTATTTTAACAAATGATTTTATTATTTTTAATAAATTTTATACTAACATCTATATTACCGAATTTATTAAAATTTAACAAAACTATGAATTTATTTAAGAAAAATCTATCTCAAATGTATAAATAATTTATAACCATATCTACTGAGTTAATGTTTTTTAAACCAGATCTAATAATTAAAATTAGATTATCTATATTTATTTTTTCACAGTTATTAAATAAATTTTAGTTGATTTTACTATCAAATATAAATTATTCTTTATCAGAATTTAGGTTTGTTGTATCAGGATTGTTTAAACTGTTTTTTATAATCATCAAGTTACTCTTTATACTTTGTTACAATTTACATTCTAATTCAAATTCATCTGAACACCAATGTATTAAATTTATATTATCAATAATCTGTTATAAGCATAGAGTTAAAGATGTATTGTTTAAAAAATCATAGCATGTATTTGATCATGAATTATTCTGTTTTCAAAGGTCTTGAACATTCTTCCATGGTTAAAAGCAAGAGAATGCATAGCCTATACTATTTCACATTCTCTATATCTTCTTGTTTGGTGATTCTTTTGCTATTTAATACAACTATCCTTTCTGTACTATGTCTTCTATATATTTGAATATGTGTTTTACTTTGCAAATAGTCTTAGTTATTATTATTCTTATAACCTTGGAACAAAAAATGATCAACATGTTTGTTGCATTCACTGGATAGTTGATTAGCTAACATATTGAGCTGCTTAGAGGTTAATTAGATTTTTTGTATAGTAGAAGCATAATCATATAGATATATGTTGGTTATGAAGGGTTTATAAAATTGGTAATTGACTCAAAGATTAGCAGCTGTTAAATTACCATTAGTTGATGTTATTAAGAAAGATTTCAGAAATTTATATTTATTACTTTGTTTATAATCTGAAGTTAATTCATATTTATTGCTTTGTTCATGATCTAAAGTCGATTCACTAAAAGTTATATTTTTAGAGTTTTTGTCCAAATAATCTCACTTATTTGTAAGTTAATATTCAAATAAGAGAATATGAATAGGTGTAAATTTACACAATATATAATGATTATTAATTCCTAGTAGGTATATAAAAACTTGAAGACTAATAAGTTCAGTTTGGCCAGCTATTTTATTTAAGCACTTTGCAATAAGTTTATGAGATTTATCTATTATATTAAGTGAAAAATTATCTGAAGCATTTTTTATAAAATTTTCTAACATAATAGCATATATTAAGAATGAATTATGAGTGTTAATAACAATTTTGGTAATATAGTCAGTGATGTAATATATATAAAATAATACAAATTTTCTGGTTAAAATAAATTTAATATTATTATTACTTTGACAAGCTAATATGATATACAGATTATAGTTATTGATGAATTTATTAGATTACTAAATGGTAATAATCCCTTGTTCAGGATTAATTATACCAAGTGGACTGACTATTTTTCTAGAAAAGTCAAATCTGCAACCATGTATTAGACCTTAATTATACTTTGTATATAATTTATTACAATAATAAAACAATATATGTATAGCAATTAAAAATAAATCCAATCAAAATTTGTTTTTAAAATCAGGAAAGTTAGGGTTTGGAATAGGTAAAAAAGAGAGAGAGATGCATACATTTTTCTTGGATTGTTTTGGAAGCTTTATATTGTGCTTCAAGCATCTCATTATTTAGTATTTCATTTTTAGTAAGAAGATAACTAATATCTTTCTGTACAATGTTACTAACATATAACAATAAATTTTGATAAAAGTTATTATTATTCTTGAGCTTTTTTCATAGTTTGATCAGGTCTAATAAACCACAAAGCCATATAAGCAAATGACAATATAGGATACTACAATCTTAATATTCAACTATACTATAATAATTTTTTATTATACTAAACATATTACTTTTTTTTTATCATACTTAATTATAGTATTTAATGTAGTTCTAATAATAACATCATCTAAATATGCAAGTTGAGCTCATTCAGTAGCTTTTTAAATATTTTCTGGCAAGAGTTTATCAATATCAATTTATTTCTCAGCATACATCATGACTATAGGACTATATAAATTAGCTGAATTAATCATAATAAATAATGAAGATAGGCCATCTTGCATTATTACAGAGAATATCTTATTGCATATATATGAGCATGATTAATATGATGCTATTAACTTAGAACTGACAACATTAACATTTCTAAGTACTTCTAGAATTAATTGATTTTTTATAGATAACCTATTTCTTTTTTGTTCAACTGCTATTCTTATATCATTAGTTGTAATAATTGAAATTAATTCAACTAAACAGTTAAAATAGTTATATCTGATTAAATTATAAGTTTCTAAAGATATTTTATAACATTATAGAATATTAAATACAACAAAAATAAATAATCTATGTTAATGAAATTTTAGGTTCATAATGATGTATGAGGTAATTGAAATATTCTTTAAGAGATACATATAGATTATGACCTTCATAACCTCCTATTCTATAAGAGAAAAGTACTAGGAAGGCTAAAGAAAAAAGAAATTTATTTCTATACTTATTCAAACAGATTTGATCATAAGATATGCAAACTACAAAAGGATATAATAGCTCAGAATTTTTTATTTTAAAGTTGTTTGATTTATTTATTAGCTTATGAATAGTAAGTAAATTAAGTTTATTTTTAGTTACTAATACATTATTAGTACATAAAATGCTGAAAGGTTTAAGCTTGAATGTTTCATTAATTGTATTAATTTCATGAAAGTTGTAATTATTATTGTTACTATCTGAATTACTAAGATCTTTTAAAGAATCTTGATTATAATCTGTATAGTGCTCTACTTCTCTTAGATTTAGATTGATAATTGTAGTTGTTAGTAACAAAGGTTCAGGAATTTTATCTTCTGGAAAACTATTTAAAATAGTTTCACTAAATTCAAATTCTTTAAACAAAACATTGTGTGTAAAAAGCCAATAAAAAGCCTTGGCAATTTTACTTTTTTGAACTTGAAGTACATTTTTAAGATGTTAATTATTAGGTTTTCCTTAACCAACAAACATAACTTTTATATACTCACAGAGACAATAAACAGATAATAGTAATACCTTTGTAAATGATCCTAGATTTTGAGATAATGTTATGATATGACCTTTTAGTTTATAATATGTATATTTTTTATTCATTAGTTGTATAATATTAATATATAAATAGGGAACTGCTATTCGCACCATAGATTTTTGCTATTTGCACTATGGTATGTAGATCACGACCAGAATTAATTAGAGTTAGGATAAGTAGTTTTTCATAATGTTAGTTACCATGGTGCGAATAGCAATTCCCTATAAATATCTAGGTAAAATCAATATCTGCTCTGAAATTGTTAGATTTTGAAGACATGACAGCATAGACCCAATCTACATATTATTTGCCAATAACAAAGGTGGTGTTTTATTTTTTTGCAAATAATTAAGACATGTTTTACAAATATACAGGTTAAAGCTGTTAATATAGTTTCCAAATTCATTATTTTTTCAAGAGTAAATAAATCTATTATAATCAAGAAGAATTTTTAAACTGATAGATTGAATTGCATAATGTTCATAATTAAAGTCAATTTCAAAAGATAAAATTGTAAATTGCATTGATGCTTCAAGTAAAGAAAGATTTATTTCTTCTAATAGAATTTCTTTAAACTCATTCATACAGCATATTTTCAAACAAATGGTATATAGTAATTTGTATAATTTATCTAGACTAACCATTTTACAGAATTCTGATAATGCACTTTTTGATACCTCTGAGTTGACCTTTTGTGGCCAATTATTATGATCACTTAAAAATTTTTTATAATTTTTATTTAATTCAAAAATGCGCAATAGCATGTTAACATTTTTAGCTTGTTGATCCTTCTTAAGCTAGTATAAAGTTTTTTTATAGTTTTGATAAAGTCTACATATCATGTTATAAGTGTGTTTAAATTTATATAATATCTAATTTTCTTAAACTCTTAGAATTCTTGGTTCTGACATCTTGATCATATTTGTTTTCAGTTTTTTCTTTTTCTAGTTTCACCTCTGGTCTCAATGCTCAACATTATTTTTGTTTTTATTATAATATTTATTTATTTTTTTTTTGCTTAATTATTTTGTTATTCTTTTTTAATTTGAAATTTATAACAGAATAAACAATATATAAGCTAAAGTAGTAAACTAAATGTTAGATATCTATGTATTTATAATTGAATGTATTGTGTTGTTAAGTTTTAATATTATTAATATTCAATAAATGAATTATACAGATATTCAATCAATTTTCAAAGACTATACAATAATTTATATTACTTTTACATGCAATTTTTTTTTTTTTATTAGTTCATATATTTATTCAATTTTTTATTAAATTTAATATCATTTTATTTTAATTCATTCACTTTATTTATTAAAAAACTATCATTGATCTACTGTATCTATCAAATTTATATTGTATAATAGACAAGTTTGTGCAGATATTGAAAGGCTTTAAGAATTAAAATTGTTGTAACTACTGTTAAACATCATAAAACTAAATGTATTGCAGCTAAGTTTTATATTGATATTGAGATTATTAGATTTAAAAATTCTATAAATATTGATATTATATAGCAAAAACAAAATTAATAAGTTGATTTTTTATCACATTTGACAAGTTATTGGATTGAAGATTTAACTAGTAATATGTGACTGATTAACCTAAATACAACCAACCAAGTTGAAATATTAAACCCAGTTTCTTTATTATTATATATTTTATTATTAAATTTTTTGTAAACAAAATTCTGAGCAAAAACATTTTCAAATCTTTATTATATATTATATAGATAACCATCGTGAATATATTTAATTTTTTAGTAAAATGCATGATAAGTGGGAATTTTTTTCTCTTTTTAAAAGGCAAACATATTTTTTTCAAACAAAAAATAGTTTTTATAGTTATTTTTATTGGGAAGCATTTAGTTTTATTAAAATTCTATTTTAAATAATAAGTTATCTGATTTATATTGACCAATCAAATAAAGATAACATATGTGAATTATACACTTATTCATGTAATAGTGTAAAGTTATACTTGATATATGGATCTAAAAAGTATTTTCCTGAACTAAAATAAGAATTGATAACAATAATATTACTCATTGGTTTATAGAAAAAATTTAAGCTAATATTTACTGTTAGTATCATACATGAGTTTGTGTATAGATGTTATCACCTTGAGCCAACTAAAGATCACTGTAATTGAATAACTTATAGAATGCCTCCTGGTTTTGGCTAATTATGAGTTTATAAAGACATTTAGTTTACTTTAATAGTACTAAAAAAACAGGTATATTTTATTTATTTGTATTATTTTTACTATTATTTATTTTTTTTAAAAATAATATTAAATAAATTTGATGAATTTATTTGAACTGTTCAAGGTACCTAATAAAAATTAGAATAATAATAATAGATAAGTATAAATAACCTAATTAAATATATTCATCAGATTATTAGTATAATTACCAGTATATTTTTATTTTATTTTTTTTAATTTCAAGATTTTTTCTTTTTTTTCTTTTTTTTTCTATAAAAAAGAAGAACAATATTGATCATATCATGTTTAGAAATAATAAACTATATAAATTTAGTAACTATTTTATAATGAACTTAGAATTCTGAAATAAAAAAAAATAGTTATAATAGAAAATTATCATGTTTACTCAAGATTTTATAGCACTTTTCATGCTTAAACATTAGGCAATTTTAAAATTTTGAGTTTGTAAAACCCAAAATTCATTGTATCAAAGTTTATTATATTTAGAATTGACTATATATATTTTTATATGTTATATTGCTATCTTGAACTAGATTTTATTCAATTAATTAATTTTTATTTTTTTGTTTCTTTTTGAATTTTATTATTTAATGTCAGGGATGATGCTGAAATTCATGTGATCACAGAATAATCTCTGCATAAACAAATCTGAGGTGTGTCTATTATTTAATTGTACCAAATTAAGATACATCACTATTTATTGCAGATTTTCGAATCTCATATAACAAATCAGGTAATCTAAACTAACTTCAAGCATGTGATGATCGACAACAAACTAACCAATAACTAATCTTAGTTTAGTGTAATATAGCATGATCAGGAAATTTAATGCAAATGTTTATTTTGCTAAAAATCGCTTATAACTCAAAAATCAGTATAAAAGCCACCTTTAGTGCTCTAACTAAAAGTCTTTCTTGAGTGATTTTACTACTAAATTCAAAGCAAACATTCATTTTGCCAAAAGTTGCTCATAGCTCAAAAATTAGCATAAAAAGCTCTAACAAAAATAACAAGAGAAGCCTTCACCTAGTGTGCAATATATAAAGAAATTATTTTACAATATCAGATCATTCTACTAGTACATGCTACAATTATAAACCCACTCCATTTGGGATTATAATAATAACATGTAATAGCTGGAATGATCTGGTATTGTAAAATAATTTTTTTATACAATATGTTGCATATTAGATGAAGGATCAGTCATGTAACATCAATGGTTCTTCCTATTAACAAAAGTCTTTCTTGAGTGATTTTACCACTATCTCACTAACTTCTAACTCTAAAGTAAGGCTAATCCTAACATTATCACATTTTTCTAATATTACATACTCAAAATTTTTTTGATAGCTATGCTGAAAAAATCTAATCTTAATGTAATAAACATTTGTACTATGTTATCAAAATTTTACAAAAATTTTTTTTATTAGTAGATAGAAAGTAATTTCATAAATGTTATATGCAGTTTTTTAACTCTGATTGGTGCATCTTACATAGTCCTATTAGAGTAACTTAACACTATTATTTTGCAAAATATCATGAAACATCAATACTTTTATTATAATAAAAAAGAGGTTGAGGCAAAAATTTTTTGCTTCATTATAATCCTAAACTATTCTATTCTAATTGCAGTAGTTCCAAACTAATTTGGTTTATATATCTGATTCTCTAATTCAAAATTCTTTTAAAAAAAAAAATTTTTTTAAAAAAAAACTTCCATAAATCAATTATGGCTTCTTTATAGCCCAGAACATTTAACAGGAACTCAAATATCTTTACCATTTATTTCAACAACTGCAGTGTAATTATTTGACTTAAGAAACTTGAAGACATCTCATGCTGAAAAGGTCAGTTGCAACTTTCTCTTGCGGGTTTGTTGATTCATATCATGATTAGGTGCAATTGCAACTTCAGTTTCAGCTTCAATTGTATTGTTTGCTGATTTTTTTCAATGCACACTGTTATGGCCTAATTTTGCACAATACTTTTCAAGTAATGCACTTATAGATTGGTGCATTTCAAGCATATATGAAATGCATTGTTTTATAGCATCTTTATTGGTTATAATTCCAGAGGCAGTGGTCTTAAGGGTGGTGGTCTCAAAGGTGGTCTCAAAGGTGAGAGTGATCTCAGAGGCGGTGATAGTGATCTCAGAGGTAGTCTCAAAGATGGTCTCAGAAGCAGTCTCAGAGGTGATAATGGTGGTCTCAAAGGCAGAGATGGTTTCAGAGATAGTGGTGGTAGTCTTAGAGACAGTGGTGGTTTCAATGGTAGAAGTTTCAAATATGGTGGTAGTTTTGGAAGTATCTGTTACAAATAAAAATTATATGTTTAGTAGTTGCAATTTAAGTTTTAATTTGAGCTGAAGTGTGAATGCAATGATGTAATTTGTCATAATTATAATGAGTTACAGCAAAATGTTGTAACTCATTATAATTACATCAAATTGTGGCATTGTGTTCACACCTCTAGACTTTGTGTTAAAAAGATATAGACTAGGTGTATTGTATACACAATGCATTTTCCATCTAAACATTGCTTCATGTGATGTATAACTATATGTTTTGTGAACAGTTGAATTATACAATATGACAAACACATCGATTATTTTAATTCAGTTCTTTTTCTGTAACTGGTTATTTTGATCCCAAAGCAACTTTGTAAACCTGCGACCTACAGTCTGATTAAGTCATTCAACTTGGCCTATAACTGTGGGTGGCAAGGTTTACTGTACCTAATTGTAATATTGAGAGTACTACAAATTTCAGTAATAATTTTTGCAACAAATTTCTTACCATTGTCACTTTGAAGAATCGTGAAAGGTTCAAGAATCTTAAAAACATCTTTTAGAAGATGCATAGCAACCATATTTGCTTCTTTATTCTTTATAGGAACTGCAACCAAAAATTTAGAGAACACACAAATACATGTGAGCAGCCATGAAAAATTGTCATTGACTTTAGCAAAATCTAGAAAGTCGATTAGGTCAATTTGAACATGCTGCCACAGTGCTATTGATACCATATTTTTTATGTCAGTTTTTTCTTTGATGGAGGTAGTTACAGTGCAAGCAGTACAATAGTTCATATATACTTTTACTTTTACCTGTGTAATTCCAATATGTTTCTCTGAAATTGCGAAGAAAGTTTTATGGTACTCCTGGTAGTTTGCACAATCATGAAAATATTTCAAAATTAGAACATGCATCTCTTCATCATATTTGGGAACTACTCAGCATTTTTCCAATATTAAACCATCTTTTACAACTGGCTAAACATAAAGAAAGCTATTTTCATTGACTTCAAATTTTTTGTAGTGACAAATAAAATTAGATTTTTTTGTAGTGTTCTATTGAATATCATCTGAGATAGTTTTTGATTAAAGGTATTCAATGATTATTTGATATTCTCTTGGATTCTCTGGTATTTTTGGAATTGCCAGCATGTTTTTTTTTTTTGGTTTTTCTTCCTTTTTTTGTTCTTCACAAATTCTTGAATTATACATTTCTTATAGTTCAATAATTCTAATAAATGACAAACTAACTTTGTCTTTAATTCAGCAAAAGGTAAGTTTTTTTCCACTAATCTTGATAACAACATTTGGAAGTTCTTTTAATTTATTTATACTTACTTTTATTCACTTAAACCTGGTAGATGAAAGGTCTGACAGCACTATTTTTAAGAAAAAAATGCCAAGTGCTTTGCAAAGACAAAAGAATGAGTTATGTACTTTTTTATTTTTATTTTTTTATTTTTTTATAGTAATCATGGCTAATTTTATTTGTGATCTAAATAGTAGAACTAATTTCTTATAACTCTGGTCAAATTTGCAAATTGTTTGGCCAATTCCAAGGTTTATAATTCCAAATCTGATCAAATGATCTACAAATTTAACTGAAGTTATAAATATCAGTATACTAGATTTGGAATAATGAATTTTTGCATTGAATTTTCTCGATTGTGCTATGTTACACCAGATAAAGATTAAATATTGGTTAGTTTGTTGTCAATCATCATGTACTTGAGGTTAGTTTAAATCATCTGATTTGTTATATGAGATTCAGAAATCTGCAATAAATAGTAACACACCTTAATTTGGCACAATCGAATAACAGATGCATCTCAGATTTGTTTATGTGGAGATTATCCTGTGATTACATGAATTTTAGCATCATCTGATTTTAGCATTATCCCTGACAATAAATATCTAATTCGAAGGTTTATAGATATAGTTAAACAAAATAATGATTCAGTAATAGATTTTTATATAAAAGTAAAAACCAGTATTAATAATAATAAAAAGCAGGTTAGAAAAATATTTATCAATGAATTATTCTTTGAGAATTATTTAGAAGCTGAAAAATATGAACCAGATATTTCATTACAGGAGCTGGTAAAAAGATTATGAGTACAAGAATCTAAATAAAAGCTGATTCTGATAATCAGATTTTTTGATATTTTATACAAGCTCACTTTAAAGAAATCAGAGATTCGATGTTTTGCATTGTTTATTATTTAGTATAAAAAGGTAGTTCATATAATATATCTTGAATTTTATCTTCTAAAGATTGTTAGCAAAGATTAAGTGATCCTGTTCTATACTAAATAATTTATGAATAAACAGATTGCCAAAACTGAAATTAGTTTTCATAAAATCTGCAAATTAGTTTTATTAGTCTCTAAAATGTTTAATGTATAAAAAATAAACAAACCACATAATTAATTTTAATACTTATCTGTCTATAATTCTTTATACCATATACCAACCTTATTAATTATAAAAAATTTTACTTTTGAATATATCTACTAACCCAATGGCTTAAAACATTTTATATCTCAAAGACCTTATTTTAAATATTCTTAAGAATAGTTTCCCAGAGATTATTGCAAAAGATGTTGAAGTTTCAGAACTAGATCTATACTCAAAATGTAATAAAGAGCTTTTTTTGTATAAAATTAAAAAACTATTTATAATACTTACTTGTGCCTATATATTTCATTATAGTTGTCTTGAGAATTATATAAAAGATCTTTTGTAATACTCTAAATGTAGAATAGAAGTTGAACCAATTGATTATTTTAAATCTAGCTCTATCCTAGTCTCAATACAAATTTTATCACAAATGAGATCTAGTCAAAACCAAAAAAACAATGTCCTTAAAATTAATAGCACTTTATACTTTTAACTCTACTGTATCAATTTTTCTAAAATATCCAATCTATGTGAATCAAACCCAAAGTGAGAAGTTTAAATCTAAAAAAAAATCAAGAAAAGAAGATAAAAAAAAAATCATTTATATTAAAAAAAATTATCAAAGAATTATTAACTGATACTTCTAATATTAGCAAAGTTTCAAAAGAAGTAAACATAAATAACAGTAATTTTTTGCAACTTTTTAATAAGATTGACCATACAGAATCTAAAAATGAAGATGTGATAAGAGAACTTATTAAAAGTTATTTCAATTTTGGTAAAACTATATATAATTGGTATAAAGAGTTAAAAGCTATTCATAATAAAGTAGGTGCTACTCCTATTGTAAAAGATGGGATCAGAAAAGAAATTCTGAAAATAAAATTTACTGATGTTGCTCTGCAAAAGAAAAGAAAAAGAGCTAAAAAGATATATAAGCTTTTTTCTGATATCAATAATAAAACTAAAATTTTATGGATTAAAACTTTTTCAACAAGATCTATTTTAAATTTATTTTAAGATAATGTAGATCATATAATTGTTGAGGTTTCAAAAGTGAATTAATAAATATATATTTACTGCACCACATTACTGTGCCTAAACACACATGTCTAGTTTTTCTAAATTAATAAGTTTTAGCACTTTATTAGAGTATAAATTCTATATACATAATTTATTTGTATTACCTTATAAGCCTTATGCATAATTTGTAATATATGTGGCACAGCTATTTGTAAAACATTTGTTGTGATATAGGCACTGTATAATAAAAAATTTTAGCCACATATATATTATTTTTTCTATTAATAAAGCAATGAAAAAAACATAGTACACTTATAAATAAAAACTATATTGAAAAGTGGCACATTTTTAGAGACTGAAAACACAGATGTAAGGTTTATAATGAATGCAATCACCATTCACATCTATATTGTAAAACTTGTAAAAAAGTAGCAAATAGGGTATATAGATAATGTGAGTATAAAAATTATACATACAAGAGAAAATGAATCTCTGATACAACTTATAATTATGCATAATATAGCCACTATGTAACTGCTTTCAGTAAAAAAAACTCATAGTTATCCTGTAGTTAATATATATCTATTATAAAAAAATTCTATAGTTGTCCTGCATAGTTATTTCACAGTTATTCTATAGTTGTTCTATATACTTGGCATTATTTTAAATTCGGTCAATTAACTTATAGAACATCGTACATTTGTAATATATACAATACATTGTCTATACAACCAAATATTTTTACGAATATTATTTAACTCTTATAGAACTATAGAAAAAATGTTATAATAATCTTAATATACATCTAGATTGTACAAAATTTATTTATTTCATCCTAAATACATTTATTTTTGGGTTTATAAAATAAACAAAGTAGTATAATATATTAAAATAAACAAAACAAATAAATATTACAACAAGAATAAATTTGTAATCTTTAATAATTGTGTCCATCTGTGGATATTGATATCAGGCAAAAGTGATTAGTATGACAATTTGTTATGCATATATGATTTTTTTCAATTCATGTATATGCAATTTTATTTCAAAATTTAATGTTTTATGAAGAGTAATTGGTATTTAGCTTTGCTTTGTTTTCTGATATAATTTGTAATCTTTTTCTTTTTGTGTTGTTCAAAAATAAATTTTTTACAACTCTTTTAATATCAAGTACTTTCTCTGCATTAGACAAATACTTTAGTTTTTAATAGTTTTTTATTTATAATAATTTATTTATCAACTTACTTGGAGTAATTTTAGAATGCAATAGACATCTTCTAATATGTTACAATTATCAATATTGACAGGTATCTTGCATCAATCTATTAATCCAAATTTATATACATCAGATTCTATTCAATCCATAGTGTAGAAATTTAGTTCTAAACCTAAAAATGACTTTTATTAACAAGAATATTATTAAAATTTTTTCTCATATTAAATCTACCAAACTAAAGCTAGCTAAAAACTATAATTTCTAATCTTTTTTCATTTAATACATAATCACATTCTTTTAATAAACAATTGATACTATCTCACATTATTACTATTAACTTTATTTTATCTAAGAATTATTTTTTGTAACAAGTTGTAAAAATTCCAAGTTGTCCTAACCTACCTAAAACCTCTCCAAAAAGAGCCTCAAATTTATTTGATATTTTTAGTAACATTACTTTTATATCAACCTTTTTACCCATTTATGCTTTTTTAAATGGATCTAATTTTTCATTACAAGCATCACTGCTTGAAAGAACATAAATCTCCTTCCTATATTCATAAGAACTGTTAACATCAATTCTTCAATACTGTAACTAAAAAAAATTGAATTACCAGAAATGCTTTATACAATCAGATGTAAATGTTCCATAAAACAATAAATATAATAATATTATTTTCAAGTGTTATTCTGTCAACATTTCTTGAAAAAAATACATATTATTTTTTCTGTAATATAATACAAAGTCAGAATGCAAGCAATTTCAAATAATCAACTATATAATTCACAATTAATGTATACAAAAATTGTATATTTAAATTAAAATATTTTAGATCTTTATTTTTATCACTATTGTTAAGTTCTCTGCAATTGCTATCAAACTAATTCTGAATATTTTCTAAGACCAATTCACATTTCTATTTAATATAATCAGCAAGATCTTAAGATAATTGCTGTAAATTGTTTTTTGTAATTTCTTTGCATTCATATAAACTTTCTTTAGTCAGATCAAGTACTCCCCAATATGCAGGACTAGAAGCCTGCATTGGGTCCTGCAACCCAGCCCGGCCCACAAATTTTTGCAGATCAGGCCAGGCCTGAAGCAAAATTTTATAATTGTGGGCCGGGCCGGACCAAAAAATTTGCAAAACTTTATAATTGCAGGCCAGTGTGGGCCTAAAAATTTGTAAAATTATATAAGAAATTTTTGCGGGCCAGGCCGGGCCGGACCGGGCTGAAGAAAAAAATTAATATATGCGGGCCGGGCCGGGCCGGCAAAAAATGATAACCCTAAATGCGGGCTGGGCCGGGCCTAAAAAAAATTTTTAACCCTAACTGCGGGCCGGGCCGGGCCTCAAAAATAGGCAATTTGCAGGCCCCTATGCAGGGCTGTGAGATAATAAGATAAAATAAATATGTTAATAATCAGATCATGATTGTAAAAAGGACATCACACATACGTGTATACTATGCAGATTTTAGGAATTTTATTTTGATATTTTTGAAACTTATTTAATATTTCATCACATATAGATATAGATTGATCCTATTGTGGATAGATAATGTGCTTATTAAATATTCTGTATGTCCACGAACAAAAACATTAAGATCTTACCTTATTATCACTTGCTAGTGGCAATTTTCTTTCCTCCTCAAGAGTATTTTCATCAATTTTTTCTATAATCTTATCTTCATTCGAATCATTAAATAGAAATACTAATCCATCGTAGCCTGGTAATTCATCGTCTACTAGTTTCCTTTTAAGATTATTTTTGCATGTTATAGTTTCTTCCGTAGATTCATCATCGCTGTTCACTTGATTAAAGTCCTTCCAAAGAAACATAAAAGTATGATGATTAAATTGATTATTTGACTTACTGATCATACTGACACTTAGTCATACCGGTATTGAATCAAAGTTTTGTGAAATGTGAACATATGGTTCTTCTTCCTCAACCTCCTCGCCTTCTTCAACCTCCTCATCTTTTTTATCCCTCCTCCTGTTAAACCAGTTAAGAATTCATTCGCCTGTTTCATATAACCTTGTGCCATTTCGCTTTTCGTCACAAACCCACTTGAAATGGTTGCAAGTAAGTGAGCTTGGAAATTCTGCTCATAAGCAACACGCAAATTCTCCAACTCCTTAGACTCGCTGAATTCAATTAGCTCTCCTACAAAGTTCATGATTGATTTTGGGATATTATTTGATTTTTTAATAAATTTCAGGCTTGCGATCCACTTATCATAAATTTCATTAAATGCCTTTGGTGCGTCCCCAGATTGAATAGTAAAAGAGTAAAAACGATTAAATGACCAATGTCTGGCCTCTGTGTCCGCGAAAAGTTCTATAGTTGGGATTAACTACTGGGTCTGGCATGTTCGAAAATAAAATGTGATAGTACGCGTCAAAATTACGCAGTTTGTAACGAGCGATACGACTATGTATAGAGTAGGATCGTCCTACGGATAGGTACACCAATCATTGACCCTAACCCGTAACACATGATCGCATGCAACATCAAAAATTTTCTACTCTTTGTAACACCATAGCATTTCATTGCACCTCTAATCTGTTAATCGCAATTGCCACGCAACATCTCCTGGATCCGTTGGATCTATGTATCTGTTAAAGGGTTCAGAGTGGTTAATTAGCGGTGGGTTTTGACAGCTCGGCAGAGGAGAACGTCTTCCCACACCTGTTTATCGCAATTTCCACGCAACATCTCCTGGGTCCGTTGGATCTATGTATCTGTTAAAGGATTCAGAGTGGTCAATTAGCGATGGGCTTGCAGGTCTTACATGGGAACGTTCCAGGCAATGGACTTACAAGAAACCTCATTAATAAAGAAGCCGGATTGCAGATGAACATCATTTTTTGAAGTCAAGATTTGGGTATCTTTTATTAGCCTTGCTTTGTTATTTAATTACTTTATAAGTTTTGACAGAGTTTCTGAAGAGGAATATGACATTAAACCATGCCTGCCAGAATTCTAGATGACAGTTTCTATATCACTAAAAGATCATTTTTATTTTGGCAACCTCGAACACACATGAATATTTTGGTTGGGCCAATGTGTCAGTTTCCAGGCATACAAACTAAGGATTATTCTTTCGTACAATTTTCTGAGGCACCACGGAAAACAAGTGACATAAACTTTGTCTTTTTTCTCATGTCCAAAAAAGGTAAATCAGAGCAAGATAGTTTATTTTTGTCACCACACGTTTCTTATAGATATATAGCTGTACTTTATTTAGATTCGATAACAGATAAAGGCGGATTATAGAAAACTTTATAGTGTATAGAACAATAGATAGATTTTCTTGATTCTTATTACAATGCGTATTAACTCATTTTACACCAATATTTTTTTACATTGTAATGTGTATGTTAATATTGTTCTATAAATGAAATTTTCTTACCATTTTTTTTTTTCTTTTCTATATCAATAAAGCTGGCCCTGGTGGCTGATTTCGCATACATAATCACGTTTACTTTTGCATGCGTATATTTCGTGAATTTATTTTATTGTGTTATTATCGATGTACATTACTCGCATATGATCGAGAATTTTTTTGGTAAAGTGATAGAGCGTGAAATCTTTTACCCAGACATTAATCCGCAGACAATAGTATAGACATCATGTATCCCAGGCTTGGACTTTGTCCCTATTTCCACTAATTAATAATCACAAACTGCATTGGTAAAAATAAAACATGAGAAGGCCACGGGAGCCCCCCTTCTTTATTTATAAAAATTATTATTGCCGGGACAACATAAAATACAAATAAAAAAAATATATTATTATACAATATATCACTATTATATAATTTTATTAATCATCATAACCAAAAGGTCCTTTATTAGACGATTCTTTAGTTAACTCAAAATACATTTTACACCAATGCACATCATTGTAAAAGGGATTTCTTATGTCCTCAAGATCTTGTTCATAGCATTCGTTTAAAAAATCTGGTTTAATTAATAGATTTAATGATTTTTTAAACTTTAGGTGAATGAAAAAGGTAGACAGAATTTTACTTACCAAGACTTTGGTACTAAAGTTTGAATAAATTTAAAAAGATATAGTTCTGTTAATAGTTTATAAAAAAAGTAGTTTAATTAACAAAAAGATGACCAAAGCCTTGCAGTTAAATAATATGTTTTAAAATAAATAATGGTTTGTCAAGAGTAGAGTGTACTATTTTAAAATTATATATAAACTTAGTGGTAATTCTTTTTTTTTTTTTTCAGTATTAAGGTGACCTCTTTGGTCCAAGCTTTTTATTAATACTTATAGCAGGTACATGTTTATA